TCCATCAGCTTCTGTTTAGTCAGGTGTTTTTTATGTTTCTTGCCACTGTAGTGCTGCTGAGCCATGAGGGGATTGTTGAAGGAAGATTGACAGATGGAGCAGAAGAGGTTGGGGTCCCGATTTGCTGGCCCCTGCCCACCACCTTCAAGTAGCCCTTCATCCTTCTTCACCTGTGCTTTGGGCTGAGGTAATGCTGGGACTGGGAGATAAGCCAAAACACAGTAGGTCAGCTTTTCAGATGAGATTAACACTTCTAACCATCTTCGGAATATAATAAAATATCAACACGCTTTGTACTATATACTGAATATTGCCAATAATAATTAGTATGTGAAACATAAAGGAATGCGTATGCACTATGACCATTTTGCATTTTTTATCCTAGTTTGTATAAAAATGTTGTCTCAACTTTTGGCTGTTAAAACAAATCAGGAATCAGAACTTATGATCGATACTGCTATTAGTTCAATCACCACACTGGAAATGGAAGGTCAAGTCAAAGGCATTGCATAGTGGAACGCAATATAACTTTTTTCTAGGAATACTACATAATGCGTTACGAAAATAGCCAGTACAAAAGAACCATCAACTTGTAAAAAAAACAAGTGTACATCTCATTCTGGTAATTACAGGATTTTAAGAACTAAATATCATGATGATCAAGTCTTTTTACCAGGAGTCTGCTGACCGAAGGTCTTCAAGCGAAGGTTCTTGGAGTGAACTTTGCCCTGGTAATGGGACTGTGCCACTACCGGGGAAGAGAATGTCATGTTGCACACATTGCAGGCTTTGTATTTGTCCCCTTCCTCGACATTACTTATCTGCAAAACATAACACTAGCCATTAATGCAGGACACAAACACATCTGTGATCCGATATTCAATAAGTCTCCATCACATCTGGCCATTCATCTGACTTACATCACCTGAAGGCTTGAACCGTTTTGCGATGGGCTCCTCATTACCATGAATGCTCATGTACCGGCGTACTTTGCTCGCATGTTTTTTGCTCTACAAGAGACAAAATAATTAACATTAAGAAGATACTAATTTGACATGGGATAATTGTCATGAAACATTTTCCAAGTTTTATTTACCAAGTAATAGTCAGTTATCATGCTGGAAATACATGCAGCATGTTTCATCCACGTTTGGGTAAAAATGTCCTGCATTTTGACAATCTGATCAAATAGTGAGCAGGAGATGTTAAAAATCATGGGTGACGTAGCAAAATGCTAGAACTGGAAAGTCACGTTGAGCATACTTCATTGTAGGGATGTAACGATTGCGGTTAGTATGACCGTTTCATCTTTTAATTATCATTAAAACCGTATTAGATTACCG